AATCTACAAACATGAATGACCTAATAAGAAGGTAAAGTCAAAAAATATTACTACTGGGGTTTCAGTTCATGCATGCAATAGGTTTATTTAAATACTTTTTTTTTTAAAGAGCATGATTAAATATCTCTATGCAATCAGTTGGTGCTTACAGACAAGTTCTCTCAGCAATATATTTTTCTTAGTCTCCTTTTGTTGTTGTTTTTGTTAAGTGCCGTCGAGTCGGTTCTGACCCATAATGACCCTAAATAGGGTTTCTGAGGAGCAGCTGGTGAACTTGAACCACCGTCCTTACAATTCAAACAGACTCTGCAGTCCTGCGCATTAACCCACAGCGCTACACCAGAACTCCTTAGTGTGCCTTCAAAAGGAGGATATTTTTTGTGCCGCGAAAAATATAATATTCAATTCAGGACTAATATCAATTTTTTAACAGAAATCAAGAGGACATTTTCCCAAATCACTGAAGCTTCACAAAAATCTTACAGGAATGCTGGTCCACATTAAAATAAGTTTTCACATGTAACCAGTATTTTAAGGAAAGTTGGGAAGACCTCAAAAATGAGCCAAAAAGAGGGAAGACAATCAACCTTGATGAATGAAAAAACTGCCCAAAGTCCAGAACCTGATGGAAGAAGTCTTTAAAATGACCAGTGATACAATAGTTACTGAAGGAGGTTATCACATGGTTCCGCATTTCACTAGAAGCAAGTATCTGATCTCTGCAACTTTCAGGCAGATGAAAGTGCCAAACATGTTGTAGAAGATCTGCTAGCTCAAGAGCTGCTCCTTCCATTAGTCTTTTGGACCGAATCATAACTGGGACAAGTCTTGGATTTACCAATATGATCCAAGAGCAAGATCCAAACAAATAGTGGCTTCTGAGGAGATCTGGCAGTCAGTTAAATTCTAGGCAGAAAGATCAAGTCAGAGGTTTATGGGGACTATATTTTGAGGCTCCAAAGTGGTAAACATGATAGAATTTCTTGAAGAACACAGGATGATTATAGGGGCTTATTACGAAGAGTCCTGGTGTGGCACTGCAGGATAATAACTGGATTGAAAAGTTGTTTCAACTGCAAGGTTGGCGGATAAACCTACCAGCTACTCCTTGGAAACCCTATACAGGGTTGATATGAGTCGGAATCGACACAACAGCACTGAACAAAAACAACAACGATATGAAGAAGTTATAAGAAAACTGAAAACCGCATTAGTGACAAAAAGGCTAGGAAATTTACAATAAGGAAATTTTTTCCCATCATAAAAATGAACCTGCTCATTCTTTGAGGGTAGCAAGGTCTGTCCTATGAGAATTTATTTGAGAAATAACCCTGGTCTTGTCATTTCAGAAATTTTTATGTTCCCCAAAACTCAGACTATTTAAAAGGCACATGAGTCAAGACTATCAATGACGGACTAAATCAAAGACTACAGTGTTCTTCAGAGAAGAGTTAGAGAGAAAGAAACACGGTTTTCAAAAGTGTACAGACCAAGATAGAGAATATGTTGAGAAACAAGATTTGATAGTTCTGTTTAATAAAGGTCTGACAATTTGTTAGCAATGCTTTCTGAATTATCCTTATAATTTCCTAAGACCTCAAAATAGCTATGGTACCAACAGCTATAGCATTATTAGGCTATTAACTTACATTAGTTAATATTTACAATTATACATGGTATATATGCTTATGGAAAAGGAACTCTGGTAGCGCAGTGGCTACGAATCGGGCTGCCAACCGCAAGGTCAGCAGTTTGAAACTACCAGCTGTTCCGCAGGAGAAAGATGAGGCTTTCTGCTTCTGTAAAGATTTGCAGCCTCAGAAACCCTGTGCAGGGTCAGTATGAATCAGAATCAACTCTATAGTACTTAACAACAACAAAAACATATGCTTATGGAAGTATATATGTGTTTATACATCAATTTCACTTAAGAGTTTACCAAAATTTTTCTCTTTTAACCTGTTGAGAAATAATCTCATGCCTCAAAGTAGAGTAGCAAATACTTATCAGTCATTAAATTCTGACTATGATTGAATAATAATAAATATCATCACCTTTCATTCTTTGATGATGTTAACATCTGTTAAGTTGGTTCTGACTCACAGCAACCTAGGATCCCAAGGTGAGTTTGAACTGTCAACTTTGCAGTTAGCAGTCCAAAGCTTATCCAATAGGGCCACACAATTCCATAAGTGACTCTGTCATTTTGTTTTTTGCTTTTTCAATAAGACTGTTAAATTATAAAAGATTCTGCAAGGAGAGGTTAGTGTTTTCCTGATTAGAGTTAATATATAAAGTATTTACTAGTTGTTTCATTTTAAGTATTTGTTTTAATTTCCATTATTTAATGAGAAAAAAGTACACGTTTAGAGCACTTACTTATAATGAATTCAGTTATAAATTAAGAAAAAACATTCCCTTATGACAGGAAATCTTAGCACAATTTACAAATCTAATATAAAATGTTATAAACTCAAAGTTCAAAACTGAATGGAGACGGCACTTAAATATGTCCACAAATTTTTCAATACATATATAACAGACAAGCAAACATCACAGCTACATTACTTAGTAAATGGTGGTTAAGGGTCTAATTCTCAAAAGTGAAAACAGACCCAGTCTTCACATTCATAATTTTACACCCTTAACACCAGCTAACACAGCACCATTCTCTCCCTGACTCTAGCCACCCAGGGCTAGGTCAGATGTTACATGTTAAAATGACATCATCTGCCAAATACACTTCCAAATAGACAGATGTCAGCCACAAGATTGCGAAATCCACATTATACTGCCAATTTATAACCTAATGACCACTAATTTGGGGCTGGATGCCACCTGCTAGCTCGGGATTCCAAGTGACACATTTACTTTCTGGTGGTGCAGTGCTGGACAACTAAGCAAAAGGTCACTGGTTCAAACCCATCTGCTACTCCCCTAGAAAAAGGCATGACAGTCTGTGTGAAAAAACCCTATAGTACAGTTCCACTCTGTCCTCTAGGTTCACTCTGGGTTAGAATCGATACAGCAATGGGTTTATTTTTGTATTTGTCTATATTATCCTTGTGACTACAAATTTATTAGGATCAAAAAGGATACACATGAAGCAACACAAAGGGAAAGGTCTGGGAAGATTCCTAATTTAAAGTTTCCATGTCTCAATTAAAAATGGTCAAAGGGTTTAAAAACAGATAATTCTCTAAAGAAGACATAAGATGGCCAACATGCACATGAAAAGATGCTCAACATCATTAGTCATTAGAAAAATGAAATCAAATCCACAATGACTGCCTTCAATTGCTATGGCAATTGAAGAGCGGCAACTATGATTCTGTGCTACACTATGGCCACTGAGCTCAATAAGAGCCAGAAAGTGATCAAGAATGTGATTAAACACTGCCATCACTGAGGGTGCCTCACAAATTAGTGACCAAGATGATTCAAGAGGTATATGCTGTTTACCCCTGTATGACCAGAGAACCATGGAGGTACTCCAAAGACAAAGGCCTCAAGCTTATTAATAAAAGGATGGGGATATATTGGCAGCACTTAACAACATTATATATATATATAATGTTGTTAAGTGCTGCCAAGTCAGATCCAACCCACAGTGACCCTGTATAGGGTTGGAAGAAATGGCTGGTAAACTTGAACTGCCAACTTTGTGGTTCAAACTTACCTTATGGTCAAGTACTTATCCTACTGGGCTGCACATAATACTAAGTTAACTAAATCAAGCACAAAAGGATTGTATGTGCCCACTTACACGAAATATCAAGAATAAGTAAATTCATTGAGACAAAAGATTTTTAGTCTAAGACAGAGCCATTGCCATGCTGCAATGAGTTTCGATGACGGGTAAGACTGAGGAATTCGCACTGACCGCCTAAGACAGGCAGCGTCCCTTAAACAAATAATAAAGAAGAGGGAATCTGATGCATACCATGTAGATCCGGTCAGGAGTTCAAGGCCCTGTGGGCCCAACCGTTGCTGACTGTCCAAACCATAGGCTCTGAGGATCAGACTTTAGCCACCTACCAGACATAGCAAAATGTCCCTTATCTGATTATTCAGTTATGCTTGTTAGTAATCGCATACATGAGCCCTGGATATCCACAGATAAATGTAAAAACCTTCCCTAAAAGCCGAGACTGTAAATTCCAAAAAGGCAAAGTTTTTCCCAAAAAAAAAAGATTATTAGTCAATATTAAGTGAAAGTAAGAATGGGAGATTTAAAAAAAATTTTTTAATTAACGAAAAAAAAAAAATGACACAAATCCAAAGAACCATAAAAAGCTATCATTTTACAAACGTTATAAAATGGATAGCAACATAGGAAAAAAATGAGAAACTACAGTTATCCAAAGCATAAACAAATGAACAATCATTAAGTTTTATACAAGCAATTATCATTTCACACTTAAATTAATAATAATGACTGAAGAATTTGGGGAAGGAAAGTTTAAAATTAATACTGCTTTATTCCTAAGAAATGTTTCTTAAAAACTCACAGATTCTCTATTATATATATTCCAATCAATATATTTCATAAAAATAGAGTAACATAACATTTACAAATGTTACATTTGTGTAAGAAAATTATTACTATTTTGAAACATGAGAGAATATAGTGTTCTTTTAAAAACTTAAATGTAGATGATGAAAGATTTTAGCTATTTAATAAAATGGCAGAAAAAACAGTTCTGTTGTGGTTCTGTAGAATAAGCACTGAACAGCTAACCACAAGGTCAGTGGTAGAAACCCATCAGCCACTGCTTGGAAACCCAGGGTCGCTGTGAGTTGGAACCAACTCGACAACACTTAACACCACCACCTATGACTATTTTTGCGATTTATACGTTTATCTACTGAGCTAAAATTATTAATAAAACTGAAGTAATTGTTTCTTCATGCAAGAAAAAAGTTTCTTAAATTAACAGCCTAAATATTTGCATCCTTAAGGCCTTCTCTTAAAATAATATAAAGAAGATTAAGTATACCTGATGTCCAGCCTTTACTTGCTTCAAAACACTTTCAAAACATACTTCATCCATGTTATTCAACTGCTGCGCCTTAAAAGTTTTTAAAATATGAAAATCATGACATTAGGTAATTGTAAACATTCTAAATATGTACAGAACTTATCCAATTATAGTGCGTTCTTCCTGATAAGACTATATAAGACTAAATGTTGAAACAACAAATACAATATAACATCTCACACATAACACCATGAACACAAATACACTGTAATTTTTAAATCTATGCAAAATACGTCATGCAATAATTTCAGAATACTAACTTCCTTCCTTAAAAATAACAAGTTTTAAAGATAGTATATTTAAGAATAATAGTCAGCTGGTGTGGTGCTGTAGTATTAGCACAGGACTGCAAACCACAAAGTCAGCAATTCAAACCCACAAGCTGCTCGTCGGAAACCCTATAGAGGGTCGCTATCCAAAACTGACTCGACAGAACTTACCGACAGCAACAAACAGATGTTAGAATAATTTTAAAGTTCTCTCTGCTTTCCTCAGCAATTAAAAACAATAGTTTCAGAGATGACTGGTAAGTGCCTGAAACACTTTTTCTCTTCTTTATCTTCTATTATCTTTCTGTGATAACCATATGGTATCATTTAAAATAAAAGATGAAAAATCATTCTAAAATTGGACAGAAACAGCTCTAAAACTCTTCTAAAATGCATTAAAAAGAATTAAATAACCAAATATATATATTTAGACATGACAAAAAAAAGCAGCACGTAATACTGGAAAGCACTTGCAACAATTAATAAAGGTTAGATTATGCACATGACTATTACCATACTGTAAATTAACCTTTTGTACATCTGAAATGACTCCCTATCATTCTACATACACCTTACTTTTATGCAATGCAGATAGAACATACTAATTGACAGAATAACAGTAATTTGTTGTTTTGGATTAATGTTTTATTTGACATGTGTAGAGCAGAAACAGTCTTATTTTTTAATCAATGAAACTAGTTAAACAATAAATAATGCAATACATTATAGAGCAAAGTTGACAAAATAACATACTCCAACTGAATTTCTATTAGTAAAGAGGTCAAATAAGGTCTAAAGCTATTTCTTAGAGAAACAAATGGGTTGTTGAATAGACTGATACACATTTAAATTTTAAGCCAAGTATACTTTCACAATATAAATGTCTAAGCCAAACATCAAAATAATGCATATGGTCCATAGTAATATTTAAGGATTCTAATAAGCCAACTTTTGAAACCACCATATAACATTTTAGATATGCCATTTGTAAATTTACATGAAAATTGAAAACACAAGTTAGCAGACCTTCCTAATAGCCACTACCATGAAATTACTATTAATTGTTTAAGAGGCACTATCATTTATTTGGCAAAAGGCAATATGCCAAAAAATTAAGTACTGATTTAGTTCGAATCTCTACTTATCTCAAATTAGTATTCAATCATCAAACACAACTTTCTGAAATGTATATCTGAAAATACACAATGCTGTTTTTGTTGGCTTTAGGTGCCATAGTCAATTCCAACTCGCAGAAAACAATGAAACACTGCTAAGATGTGTCATCCTTGCATTTGTTCTTATGTTTAAGCCCACTATTGCTCCCACTGTGTCAAATTTTCTTGTTGGGGGTCCTTTCCTTTTTCATTGACCCACCACTTATCCAAGCATGGGACTGATCCTTCCTGACAACATGTCCAAAGAACTTCAAAGATCAAGATAATTTCTTCTATGATATTCCTTATTCACTGTCCAACTTTTACATGCATATGAGGGGATTGAAGATACCCATATGCATGGGTCAGGTGCACATCGGTCCTGAAACTCACATCTTTGCTCTTTAACACTTTAGAAAGGTCTTTTCCAGCAGATTTGACCAATGCAATATGCATCTTTTGATATTTTGACTGCTGCTCCCAAGTGTGTTGATTGTGGATGCAAGAAAAATGAAATCTTTGATAACATCTATCTTTTCTATGTTTATCATGATGCAATGTACTGGTCCTGTTGTGAGAATTTGGGTTTTCTTTACTCTGAGGAGCAATTGATACTAAAAACTGTAGTCTTTCATCTTTATCAGTAAGTGCTTCAATTACTCTTTGCTTCCAACACATGCATAAGGTTGTCACCTACGCGTCAATGTAGTTAATGAGTCTTCTTTCAGTGCTGAAGCCAGGTTCTTCTCTTCACAAGCTCCAGCTTCTCAGATTATTTGCTTATCATTCAGACTGGATAAGTATGGTGAAAGGATACAACTTTGTATACCTTCCCCAAAGTTAAACCATTCAGTACCTCTTGTTCTTTTCAAACAACTGCCTCTTGGTCTATGCACAAGTTCCTAATGAACATTCTAGAATACTCATTTCTTCTCAATCTTACCCATAGTTTGTTATGACCTACATATCCAAATTCCTGTGCAAAGTCAATAAAGCATAAGTAAACATCTTTCTGGTATTCTTTGCTTTTAGCTAAAGAACATCTTAATTCATAACCTCTTCTGAATCCTTCTTGAGTTTCTGGCAGCTTCCTGTTGATATACTGCTGCAACCATTTTTAAATCATTTCTGAAAAAATTTACATGCATGTAATATTAATGATATTGTTTAATGATTTCTGCATTTCTTGGGTTGCCTGTCTTTGAAATGTGCACAGATATGGATCTCTACAGTTGGCCAGGTAGCTATCTTCCAAAATTTTGAAAGAGAAAAGTGAGCATCTCTAACGCTTCATCAGTTTACTGAGATATTTAAATTTGTATTCCATCAATTCCTGGAGCCTTATTATTATTATTATTAAATATTTTATTGTGAATTATGTGATAGGTTACATGGGAGAACATTAGCTTTACATTCATCCTATCATATATCGTTTCAGTGCCATGGTTACAATCCCCTCCATGCATCATCAACAAACCAAAGGGTACACCCCACAAGTCTACCCCTGGTCGTCAGCATACAGCCCCACTCCCTCTCTGGGTCCAGAGTTCCCAGCCGTGGAGCCTTACTTTTTGCCAATGCTGTCAGTGCATCATGGACTTTATCATTCAATACTATTAGTTGCTGATTATATATTATTTCTTGAAATGTTTGAACATTGTCCTATTGTTTTTGGTACAGTAACTAACTGTATATTCCCTTCCATCTTCTGAGATCTTCTGCATCATTTAATATTTTGCCAAATTCGAGGCTTTATTTCAGGTTTTTCCACTTGAGAAATATTAAGTTCTTCCCTTTTGGTTTTCTAGCTATAGGTCTTTGCATATTTCATGAAAATATTTTACTTTGTATTCTCAAAGTGACCTTTGAAATTTTCTGTTCAGCTCATTTAGTTGCTCATTTCTTCCACTTGCTTTAGCTTCTCTATGCTCAAGAACAACTTTCAGAGTCTCTTTTGACACCAATTTTCATCTTTTCTTTCCTTGTCTTTTTAATGAATTTTTGCTTTCTTCCTATATGATGTCCTTGATGTCATCCTACAACTCTCTGGGGCTTGGGTCATGGGTCATTACAGGCTAACACCTCAAATCTGTTCTTGAGATGGTTTCTAAATTCAGGTGTGCCAGGGACCTGCCACGACACGAGTGTTTGGTTCACAAGGAGGGGATATCTGGCGGCCATAGGGATAGCAAAAGAGACACAGAGACACAACAAGAAAGACAAAGAGACACCCCAAAACCAGAGTGGATGCATTACTGGCGTCTGGCAGATCTGGCGTGGTGAACATATTCGCCATGAGGGCAGTAAGATCCCGCATAGCAAACATCTTAGCTATGCAGGCAGTACGTTCCCCTTGCTAGCTGGTCAGCCACGCATGCCTAGTCAGCCATATAATACGCCCTCCACACTGTAATGCACACCTGGGTTGGTCTGCGCCTCCGTTTTATTTAGGGGCGGGACTAAGACAAGGTACAGCTAACATACGTAATTTTCCAGACATTCAGGCATCTTCACATCATACTTCACAGGTTCGAATCTCACGACCACAACTTGGTTTCTCAAGCTTAATTAACATACCTTTTAGCACCTAGCCTCAAATGGGGGAAGGAGAAGGAGGATTGGGAGGAGTCCCATTGTGTCGCCTGCCCAGCCCAGGTTCTCCAGGAAAAGAGACGCCTGGGTGAATAGGGCTGCACCTGAACACACTTTAGGGAGGGTGTCTTTTTGTCCTAAGAACAAAGAACCGGGGAGCCACCCAATTTACTTTGACTGAATTCTTTGAGGGAAGAACTTTGCCTTTTTGGAATTTTACAGTCTCGGCTTTTAGGAAAATATTACATTTATCTGTGGATCTCAAGGGCTCACGCATGCAATTAATAATAAACATAACTGAACACTAAGATGAAAAACAGTTTGCTATGTCTGCTAGGTGGCTAGAGTCTGTTCCTCAGAGCCTGCGGCCTATACAGTCTGCAACACTTGGGCCCACAGGGCCTCGAACTCCTGACCAGGTCTGCACAGTCTGCAACACAGGTGGGATATACTCAAGGTCATAATTTGACTCTCATGGGCTTGTTTTAATTTTCTTCAGCTTCAGCCTTAACTTGCACATGGGCAATTAATGGTCTGTTCCACAGCGAACTGTTGGTCTTGTTTTGGCTGATGATATTGAGCATTTCTATGGTCTCTTTCCACAGTTGTAGTCAATTTGATCCCTTTGTATTCCATCTGATGAGGTCCAGGTATATAGTTACCTTTTATGTTGTTTTTAAAAATTAAGTCATTGGTCTTGAAAAATTCTATAATGGGATCTCCAGCATCATTTGTATTGCCAAAGCCATATTTTCCAATTAATGATTATTCCTCTTGGTTTCCAACTTTGCATTCCAATCATCAGTAATTATCAATGCATCTCGATTGCAAGTCTGACAAATTTCAGTCGGAAGAAGTTGGTAGAATGCTTCAATTTCAAGTTGGCTTTAGTGGTTGGTGTATAAATTTGAGTAACAGTGGTTTTGTGGTGTTGATCCTCTTCAACACATCATTCCTGGCACAGTAAACCATTATGACTGTCCAATTCAAAATGGCCAACACCAGTCTGTATCAGCTCACTAATACCTAGGATACCAATTTTTATTTGTTTCATTACATCATCAAATGAAGGTCCTGAAAGCTTTGCTCCATTCAGGTTTTTAAGGTAAACTGTATTTTGAGGAGGGAGTTCTTCCCCCGCTGTATTTTGAATGCCTCCTGACCTGAAGGGCTCAACTTCCAGCATTATATCTGACAATGTTCCAATGACATTCATAAGGTTTTCAGTAGCTAACCATTCTGTCTTAGTGTGGAAGCTTTGCTAAATCCTATCCACCATGGGGAATCCTACTAGTATTGAATATAACAGAGGTATAGCTTCCAGCATCACAGCAACACTCAAGTCACCATAGCAACAAACTGACAGGTGGTGAAAAATCCAAAATATACAATGAATATGGTGGTGGTTGGTTGTGATTATGTGCCATGGAGTCAGTTACAACTCATAGTGGCCCTGTATAGAGTTTCCAAGGCTGTAAATCTTGATGGGAGCAGAAAGCAATGTAAACTATTGCATGCAACATTATGGAGGAGGAGTTAATTTATTATAGATAGTTGAGAAAGTATGATTAATATTGTCTAGGCTGATAAATCCATAATGTTACAGAAATTACCTTTAGGAGCCTATAATCCCTTGCATGTGTTCATTCAACAATATGTCAATAAAAATACTTTCAGCGAAAAAAAAAAAAAAAGGATATTTAAAAAAATGAATGTTTACCTTATTTGCACTTTTAATTCCCAAAAATGTCTGCCCAAGAGGTACCGGTCGAAAACGGCCATCAAAGTAGAAAAGTCCAATGTAGGGATTAACATGTAAAAATGTAGCAACATCGAGGTAGTTGGGTAAGGTTGCAGAGAGTCCAAGTATCCTTATCATACTCTGTGTGGATTCAACCTATAGGGATTATTTTAAGCAAATTATGAAAAAGATTCAATTCAACTGAATTTTTATTAAGTTGAAAGTAAACTTAGTGACTACACAGATATGAAACATTCAAAATAAAATAACCACAAAGAAATACAGAATAATAGTACATAATATAAAAGGGCTCCAAACATGAAAATTAGCATAAACCGGCATCTTAGAAGATAAAAAAGAACTGTAAATATTATTTCAGTAGACTTCTTAAACTGGAAAACCCTGTTAATTAAATATGTTTTTTCTTTTTCATTCCCTAAAAAATGTAACAGGACTGCAGTGCAGTGTGAATGACTTCACGTAGCTCTTATACATAAAGTCTTTGTAAATTCCACCACCCAACATTTTTACTGGTGGTTCTTGGAAACAAGAGGTGGGAGAAGATACTGATAGAGTAACATGATTCAGTGGTGAATATTATCAAGAGTTCATTGTGATTGTAAAAACTTGGAAGTCTAACATAGATTTAAAATGTGTCATCACAAAAGCAGGATGGGGGAATCTCACTACTACCACAAAAGAAGAGCAAGGAGTGGAACATGTTCTTTGGATGCCAAGATCCCTGCACACTGAAATTTTTCAACCAAGGGACAGTAAATTGTGACATCAGAGTAGTAGCATGGAAGTGGAATAGTGGTAGCAGCAGCAGAACTAAAAGAACACAAGGCATCCAGTAGACTTCCCAACTCATGAACACATAAAGCAGAGTGTCACTGGGCATGAGACTTGCTTGCAAAGTGGAATGTCCACAAGCAGTTAATTGGGAAAGACTAGGTTTGTTGACCCATGGAGGTCGAGCTTAGTGTCTTCAGGCTGAGGATAATGGTGGAGTGGTGTGTCCTCTGGGCATTTATCAGCAGCCATAAACACTGGCTGGGCAGAGAGTGGCCTGCTTGTAGGCTCAGCAGAGAAGAGGATGTCCTGTTTTTAATAACTGTGCCCTGAGCATTTCTAACCCTACATTGTAACCTGTTAATTTCCCACATAGTCTGAGTTCTATGTGGTCACTGCAATGGATAACCAAACCCAACAGTGAAGTAGAAAAGCTGTGGGTAAAATGGTTGGTTCCACATTTTTTTTTGCAAGGATAAATGACAGATTAGGTTTTACCAAATAACTTAACCACTATATAATTTCAGGAGATAAAAATATAAGCTATTCATTCGGAAGTTCAATCATTTCAAATTCATTTTAAATATAACTCATAAGAAGTTAAGATGGATTTTCTATTGTGTTACAAATTTAAATTTAAAGTAATGGCAATTGCATAACACTTATATATTTGCACCTGTATATGCTTAATGAAAAATTATTTCCAGGTAACTAAAACTTTTCTTTTTAAATTCTTGAGTATATATTTATAAAACCAAGGTTTCCCTTCCTTTATTATAGGTTGCTTGCTTAATCTATAATTCTTTCCCTATAGCATAGTAGTCCCTTTAGTGTATCATAGTAACATATAGTTGTCGTTGTTGTTAAGTGCCACCCAGTCTGTTCTGACTCATAGCAACCCTGTATAGGGTTTCTGAGACTTTTACATCTCTACAGGAGCGGAAAGCCTCATCTTTCTCCTGAGGAGCAGCTGGCAGCCTCGAATTGCAGACCTTGTGGCTTCCAGTCTGGTGCTTAACGTAGAGTATATCATAATTCAAAAAAAAAAAAGAAAGAGTAAAGTCTTGAATGCCAAAATGCAATTATTTATTCCATCATCGCAAACACTTTTTTCCAACTTATTATTAATCACTATTGATGCAAACAATTTTTAGTTATATGGAACAATAACTAAAACTAGGAAGAAAAAACAGCTAACTACGAAAGTATGAATAAGGCATTTGTTTGTGTTCCTTTGAATGTGATATTCTATTTTATTTTGAAATATTACTGACACTATTTTTTCCATTAATCATTTTTAAGCTAATATGAAGCATAGTGCCAGGAGAGACATGGCTCAGAGTCTCTATATAAATAATAATTTTAAACAATAATGTGATATTTTTATGAATAGCTGTTGTTAAGTGTTGTCAAGTAGATTCCGACTCATAGCTACCCTGTTTAAGGGTTTTCAATGCTGTAAATATTTACAGGAGCAGAAAGCCTCATCTTTCTCTGAGTCCATGAATAGTTGTTGCTGTTAAGTGGTGTTGAGTCGGTTCTGACTCATTAACGATCCTGTCTAGGCATTCCGAGTGGCGGCTGGTGGGTTTGAACCACTAACCTTGCTGTTCAAACCTACCTTACATAGTAGCCCTTCTAAAAACCGAAAACAAGGAACAGAAAGAACTACTTATATTTGGGGCATCACGGAGAGCATTTTCAGATAGTGGTTACTGACACTCTAAACTGAGAAAACAACTGATTAAACACAAGGGAGGCAAGGAAAAAAGAATGCTTTTTAAAAGTGCAGAGATTAAACCTGGTTAAAAGCTCTGGTTTAGAGAAATACATTTACAGGACTAGTGGTCTGAGCCTGGAAAAGGAAGGTGAATGTGTTCAGAAATGAAGCAGATACCAGTTCATGACAGACAGAGCATGCCAAGGAGCATATAGATTTTACTGCTAATGAGCACACAACACCAATTTTCCTTCAATTACGTTTTTGTGTCTTGTTTCAGGTAAATTCAATAATAGTTTATATTTTAAAATTTCAATACATTTTACAATAATTTCCTTATATTTTTAATTCTGCTTAGTCTCTCTTTTTTTTTTTTTTACTTTGATGACTTTTTATTTGTCAGTTAATTCAGACAAATAGAAGATTCATGCTTAATTGTATCAACTTAGCTCCTTTTTTTCATGGTTTTTTTTCTTCTAATATATCCATTATCATTTTTAAATAATTGTTATTTTTTACTAAATTTTTATTGTTAGGTTTACATGGAAGAATATCATTTTACATTCATCCTATCGTATTTTGTTTTACTGCAGTGATTACAATCCCTCCATGCATCATCAAATAACCAAAGTGTACACCCCACAGGCCCAACCTCCAGTCATCAGCACAAAGCCCCTCTCCGTCCCTGAGTTCAGTGTCCCCAGCCGCTCCATCTGTCCACAATTTCATCCCTGGTGTCTCTGCCTCTCTGGGTAGGGTTCCGCTCTCTGCTCTTCTCACTTGATGGTCCCAGGGACCTCTGTTCCTGGGCTGTAAAACCAATCACTCCCCTCCTTTTGTCAAAAAACATCTACCTTTATATTTCCTAGCCTCACAGTCAGTCCTGAAGGCAATTTATCCACTATTTTACCACAAGAGTCTTATCCCCATTTCTTTTCACCAGCCTAGTCCCAACAGATTGTAAATTATTCAGTGGAGATTCTACTTTCCTCCGCCCTGTCTTGAAATAGGCTCCCTCTTGAAAGCTTGTAAACCAGTCACCTCTTGCCTTTATAGGCCCCACCCATTTTGGGTAGCCAATGTCTAAGTACCCATGTCAACTCTCTGTACTGAGGGGGTGGGAGTGATCCTCACTGTAAAGATTTGTTCCCTTTTTTGAGCTATTCCATCCATAAGTATGGGTTAAGTTCATCAAATTGTATCAGGTAATTCTTTTTGTTTTCCCCTCTTCTTTCTTCTTCTAGTTGAGTTCTGATCATCCAGCCATCAAAGCCAGGTCAAGTGGGTACTGTCTGCAAGTATAGGTGTTCTTGTGCATCTTCCCTCACTTCAGATCAGCTGGACGCTTCACTCTCCGCTCTAGTCCTCTGTGGCCATGTCACTTCCTCTAGGCCCAGTTGTCCCTGGGTCTTGCCATACTGCTGGCCCTCCGGGTTTCCACCCGAGTTCACAGAGATCTATTGAATATGGTTGGACTTAGATCACAACTTCATTGCTATTTTTTCCCCCTCGTCCCCTTATCAGTGATCAACGTGGTCACAGGGAGACCACCTACCTGCTCATGTATTACCCTTGAGTCTCAGACTTTGAAGGGAGTTCGCTCTGAGGGGTCCCAACCACTTGCCTTGAAGGCTTTCGGGTGAACAGCTTACTAGTTCTTGTAGTAATCAGTCAGACTGCTGTTACTGTTCTCATATTTCCTGCCAGTCTTTCTTTCACGAAGTATCTTCTGTTCTTCTAGCCGCTCCAGGCTGGTCTACTTGTCCTTTCCAGTGGAAATTTCCTACCTCAGACGATTCTGGATGGGGTTCTGGATTCCACCTATGGTCTTATGCA